AAGTGGATGCCCCTTCTCCCCGAAGTTCGCCCCTTTGCCGCCTCCGCCTGCGTAAGCAAGCAAAGTTCCTCTGGACCACCAGGTTCCGTCAGATTTGTTTGAATTGCTTCGGACCCTGTGACATCAGGGGTTTGGCCCTTTTGAGGTCTGGGGGTGTGTGCGGCGTACTGGGCAATTCTATTTGCGGGATCGGGATTCTGGTTTAAACCTCGCACGTCTCGCCTCGGCCGGCGCTGGCTTCGCCAGTGTTTCGACGCCGGCACCGGCAATTGTGGAGGAACCCGCTGCTTCGCCCGCCGTTACAAATACATCGCTTGGCTGCTGGGGTCACGGCGAGGTGCTGTGCAGTTTTCATTGCACGAAGCACTTGGCGAGAAGGGAACGGCCGCGCGGCCTCTACCGTCGCATCCGTTCAAGCTCCCACCATCCTACCTATTTCGTTTCCTCTTTTTTGGTTGGTTGTCTCTTTGCTTCTTCTTTTATTGATGTTCAAGTGGCTTGGTCTGTGGCTAAAGCCTTGCTAGAATCGCCTCGGCTGGCGCTGGCCCCGCCGCAGTTTCGACGATGGCACCCCAAACTCTGGCGCGTGGGTCACTTTACAACCAGAAGCGCACTTTACAACCAGATGGGCCACTTTACAACCAGCATACAAAATCCGAGAAGGGCACTTTACAACCAGGAAGGGCATTTTACAACCAGGCAAGTAAACAACAAATATTGAATGCACGCGGGCCTTTCCTTGAAATCTCCGTGGGCAAGCGCAAGGGTGGCTTTGGGCTCTTTGAGGCATGTTGGTTGTAAAGTTGCCCATCGCGCACGAAGAAGCACTGCGCACGCGTTGGCGATGCGGCGACCTGGTGCGCTATGGTATGTTGCGTGCTGGTGGGCGCATTATAGTTTTGACCTGCTCTCTAAGCTCTGTCGGTCAGTTCTGCCATTGCTTGCTCTGCCTTTTTCTGACGGGCGAAGGCTAGTCGCGCAGGACATACGAATAAACCATGATCCCGCCCAAGACTGGAGCTGCATGGCAGTGGAAAGCTGTAGTGGGAGATGTGGTGGTAGCGGGGGCTACAATGGGAACTGCATGGTGTTGGGAAGCTGCGGTGGCAACTGTGGTGGTCGCCAGGCAGCGGTGGGAACTGTGGTGGTAGCTGGGCTGCAATGGGATTTGCGGTAGTAGCGGGGGGTCAGTCGGAATTGTGGAGGTAGCGGGGCTGCAGCGGTAAGTGTGGTGGTAGCAGGCGCAAAGGTGGCGGTGATGCGCGGTCACGGTGGCTCAAGCTGCTGCGCTGGCACGGTGGCTGAGGCTGCTGCCCGAGCAGGATACCTGCGTTGCTGCGCTGGCACTGTGGCTGACGCTGGAAGGAACGATCTTCGAAATATGTGCATTTATTCGGAACGTTGAACCTCGATCTTCCAAGACGAGGAGCAGCAGGGGGCCAACTGGAGCTGGAACACTTAGCCCCTTGCAGAACACCGCGGGGCTTCAGGGGCCAACGTGGCCCAAGAGACCCGCGGTGCCAATGGCCTAGTTCCCTGGAGCGCTGGGCCCTTGTGGAGGCCACTGGGCTCGCTTCCTGTGAGTGATCCCTAAAATGGGCAGCGCGTCGCCCTGAGCCTTCCTACGTATGCTGTCGCCTTATTCCCGTGCGAGCACGGGGCCCTTGTTGAGGCCGCTTGGCCCCTGCTAGCAAGCCCTGTCTTAGTCTGCTGGGCTCAGAGCGCCAGAGCGTCCAGGCGCTCGGGCTCAGAGGCATCGCTGGGGCCTGCTCAGAGCGTCCAGGCGCTCGGGCTCAGAGGCATCGCCGGGGCTTGCGCAGAGCGCCCAGGTCCTCGGGCTCAGGGGCATCGCTGGGGCCTGCGCAGAGCGTCCAGGTCCTCGGGCTCAGAGGCACCGCTGTGGCCTGCGCGGGGCGTTCAGGCGCTCGGGCTCAGAGGCATCGTTGGGGCCTGCGCAGAGAGTTCAGGCGCTCGGGCTCCAGAGCGCCCACGTGCTCTGGATCACTTTTCAGAGCGTCCGCGCGCCCTGGAGCACTTTTGAGAGCGCCCACTTGCTCTGGGGCATTTTTCAGAGCGCCCACCTGCTCTGGGGCATTTTTCAGAGCGCCCACTTGCTCTGGAGCACTTTGCGGAACGCCCAAACACGCACGGCCACTCTGAGCTGGTTGTAAAGTGGTCCGTTCTGGTTGTAAAGTGGCCCGTTCTGGTTGTAAAGTGGTCCGTTCTGGTTGTAAAGCGGGCCGTTCTGGTTGCAAAGTTGACGTTCTCGATGAAAAACCACACTGTCCAATCCTATGTTGGTTGTAAAGTAACCCATCTGGTTGTAAAGTGGTTGTTCTGGTTGTAAAGAGACCGAATCTCCCAAACTCTGCTGCAGCCTGCTGCCTCGCCCGCCGTCGCAAAACAACGCATTTTCTGGCCGAGGGGGTCAAACGAAAGTACTCCTCGTTCCCCCCCCCCCCCCCCTTTTTGTAAGCCTCGACCTCATGCCACCCGAGAAAGTGGAGGCGGAACAGGAAGTAGAGGAAATGGCGGAGCAAGAGGAGGATGGGGAGGAGGAGGACCAGTGTCAACCCAAGAACCATCAACGATGTAAGTACACACCCTCCTTTCAAGTTCTCTTTTTCGTAGGTCCCTACAACGGTTCATGTTAATTGAAGGATCTGTTTCGTTGGAAGGCAACCGTTTGAAGACCCTGAAGCATGCCAAAACATTGTTCTCGGGATTCCAACTTCCAACGCCACCGATCAACCTGACTGTTGCGTCTTGACGATCCTGGATCGTGCCAGAACGCCATTAGAAGGATTTCAACACCGCGCATAAACGTAACTGTTGCACCCGCGAAACCCCGAATCCTTCCAAACACCGTTTTTGGTGCGCTACCCAAGGGGATCCGCGAACATTTTGTAAGCCGTATAAAGAGAATGTGCGCGGCGCTAAGGCGAGAGCCACATTTAAAACAAGGAACCGCCCTCAATCCGTGAAGCGGCTAGCATTGTTTGACGAATGTGCGCGGCGCTAAGGCGAGATCCACATTTTGAAAACGTGTTATCTTCAATCAGTGAAGTTCTTGCAAATGTTTCGAACGAGTGCGCGCGGCGCTAAGGCGAGAGCCACATTTTGAAAACGGGTCGCCCTCAATATGTGGAGCTGTTGCAATGTGTTCGGACAAATGCGCGCGGCGGTAAAGCGAAAACCACATTTTGAAAACCACCCGCCCTCCATGTGCGAAGCTGTTGCCAAAGTTTAAGTTTGTCTCAGGCGAAACGCCCTGCCCGCCCTAAAAACTAGCTCCGGGGTGCGACAGGGAGAAGTTATTTATAAGGAAAAGGACAGGAGGAGGAGCAGGCAGAGGAGGAGGAGGAGGAGGCGGAGGCGGATATGGGGAAGGAAGGGGGGAAATAGGCTGGGGCGCAACAGGGGGCGGGAGAGGAAACGAGGTGGACGAGGAGGAGGACGACGAGGAAGAAGATAAGTAATTGGGAGAGGGCGGGGTAGAAACAAAGGCGAGGGGGCCGATGCTTTTTCAATCTCTGTGTATCTGTCCTTTTTTCTGTCCCCCTCTCTCTCTCTCTTTCTTTGAATGTTTTTGTGTTGTTCTCTCTCTCTCTCTCTCTATTTCTCTTTTTCTCTCTTGTTCTGTCTCTTTCCCTCTCTCTCTCTCTCTCTGTGGCCAAGAAGTCGGCCCCTTCGGCTCCGAGGCGGGGGCTGGACGGGCGGTGGTGACAGCCCCCTTCTCCTCGCAGCTGTTTGTCCACCTCGCGTTCCTGCGCAGACCTCTTCTCGGCGAGGCGAGGCGCGCCGTGCACTGCTTGCTTGACACGCCCTCTGACGCTGCGTTTCTCTTCTGACCCGCGTCCACAGCTCAGGTTTTTCGCCGCCAAGTGCGCGAACATCAGGAAGGAGCAGGTTGCGGCCGCCGCCAACCAGCCGCCCCGCCCTGCCGACCCCTGAGGTTCAACAGTATGCTGACGAGCTGGTCATCTCATGCGTGACTCTCGAGGTGCCAACATCACATGATTCGGTTCACTCCGTCTTGTGTTTTCGCGCTGTGGTCCGCCCTGGCTTGTGCCTAGCGCCGCTTCGCGGTGTCGCGACGCCTCAGGGTAAAGTTATCCTGGCTTTTCCCCAATGAGGGCTCCGACCAGGGTTCTCTTTGTGTCGTTGGGCTATTGGCCGTAAACCGGAGGAGTGTAAAGCAGGTTGCATCGGAGTGGACGGCAGATTTATCGCATGTCAAGCAAATGTGCGGGGAGAAGGGTTATCGAACGTGCGTGTGACACGCGTGCGTTTGGTATGTGTTTCATGCTTGTGAGCGCCACGGGAGTACCGAACACGCGGGCCGCGGATTCTTCACGCGTAAAACTAGGTGCCCGAGAAGGCCATTTCGGGTCCCGCTATAGTTCCGGGGGTACATGTAGTTCAGGCGAGGGCTGTGGCCCGAGGGGTACGATTACCCTCGGCAAGATTTACCTCAAGAGAACGTTAACGTGCGAAGTACTTGCTGGCGCCCAATCTCCAGTGTCGGTTTGGAACTCTCGAATCGCGCCGGCCCAGACCGCGCTGCAGTCTGCTTTGACACTGAAGGGGGCGGGACTGAAGGGCCGAAAGGGAGCGACGTTGAAGGGGCGCGTCAACAGTTTTTGAGGCTGACTGTGTCGAGGGGGGTAGTTTGCCCAGCTGTTCCACAACGGCAAGAGCAAGGGGCACACTGCCAGCTGCCAGGTGAGCGACGGAATACATCGGGGCCGCTTGCGCGGGCATTCGCGCGTAAGCTTCCCACGTGAGGTTGCACCTGAGCGCCCTCTTCGCCCCGCGATATGCCACGCTGGTGGGCCGCGTATGTTGCGGAGTAAGGCCTCCACGTCCTCTCGCGCAATACCCGTTTTTGCCTCGCCTCTCACGTGGCACCTTGCGCAGGGCGCAAAGCGCCCCCGCCTTGGGCGAGCCGCCGCCCGCCGTCCCAGCGCGCGCGCGCCCGCCGCCGCCTCCGCCTCCGCCTCGAGGGGCCTACTGCGGGTGCCTTGGGCCGGCCGCGTGGCGGCCGGGGCGCACGCGTGCACGCGCGCATGCCCCGCCGCGGCGCCCCGCGCCGCCGACCCCCGCGTTGGCGGGCTCGAGGACGACGACGAAGACAAAGTCGGGGGGGCAAACAGAGGCGACGACGCCGCCGGCGACGGCGTCGGCGGCGGCGGCGAGGATGGACGACACAGGTTTTGGATTTTTGGGGCGCTTTTGGGGACTGGAGGCATGCAGAGGCTCCCAGGATTTCAGGAGACCGGACCCACGCTGGCCAAATGGTGCCGTTGTATGCTGGGTCGGAGGGTTACCCTCTGATGCATCGAGCTGTTTCCGTTTGCAGTTCACGCTTCGTTTGACGGTCCTATTAGTCTAAAGTTCTTCGTGTGGGTGGCTTGGGTCATTGTTCATGCGTTCAGGGTCGCGCCGCCTTGCCGATGCATCCGCGATGCGTCGCGATCTGGGGCCCGAGTTTTTTATCCCGTCCCCACCGATGCAACGCGGATGTGTCGGCGCCATTTGGCGATGCGTCGCGATCTGGGGCCCGAGTTTTTTATCCCGTCCCCACCGATGCAACGCGGATGTGTCGGCGCCATTTGGAAGGGCTCTCCATCGGCTGCAGCGACGGCGTGGCTCTGTTGATGTCTGAGGGGCAGAGGTCGAAGATCCGTGCCGCGAGCGGAGAGGCGGCTCGAAGGTTTTTGGCGGTTTTTGGAGGTCGGGGTCCCTTTTAGCAGCTGAAGCCTCAACGCGGCAGCGAGAATACGTCTTCAATGGGCTGGCTGGCGTGGTGCTCTCAGGGCACCGTGGGGAGAAACAGAAACAAAACACGCTGGGCGTGTTTGTCCCGTTTCGTGCCACGGGTCCCTGCCGGATCGACCTGGCGCGGAAGATCATCCAATACGGGATCAAGAATACAGTTCGTTTTTTGTTGTTGTTTTCTCGGCGTGAATTCTATCAGGGCGGGGTGTCGGGTGTTGCCAGAGGTGCGTGTGGCCCGAGGTGTTCTTAGCTTCTCGCTCCACTGTGGAGCCCGTGGAGCCCTCGGGGCCTCGCGAGGGGTGCTCTGGAGGCCGCGGGGGCCTTGATGGAAATCCTGGGAGCACCTTGGGCTAGAGACGCCTTCAGCAACCCCCGAGGGTTGCCCACGATACGGTCGACCCCACGATGCCTTCCGACGTGTGCGCGTGGCATCGATCGAGAGGTTCGAACGCGCACCTCCCAGGGGCGACTCCCCCCGCCTGCGGACGGGGTTCCGTCCGATCGGTCCGATGTGTGCAAGCGGTTCGATCGGTCTGCCCGTCATTTGTGGGCAGCCTTTGAAGAGCCTTGGGGGAGGGGGGTTGCAGCGCCGGGAGGGAGGGGGGGATGGGGAGGGGGGAGGGCCATGATCCTTCCCGCTCCCCCCAGAGGGCGTCAATCCGTGCCCCTTATCCTTCTCGAAGACGCTTACGGCGAATCACCGCCGCCCCCTGCCTTTTGGAAGCGCCGATGTGGCCGAACGTTGCGGCCAGAACTCGGCCACGCTGTCGGACTGCGTGCTTTCCCCGCCGCTGTGGGAACCTTTCGGGCACACCCGGGGGCAGGAAGAGGAGCAGGAGGAGGAGGAGGGGGAGGAGGAGGAGGAGGAGGAGGAGGAAGAGGAGCAGACTCAGGGGAGAAGACCGGCATCGACCCGCGATCGCCCATCCCTCGCCGATCGGGGTCGGGGGGCCCCAGCCTGCCCGGGAGCTTTGGGGGGCCCACTCGGGGGTCCATCGCCGACCTATCGTCGGTGTGTGGTCGATGCCAGGCCATTGCGCGCCGAGGGCGGGAGAGAGAGAGAGAGAGAGAGAGGAGGCAGACCTTCTCAGATGGCGGCGTGGCCTCAGAAGGCTCAGCGTAAGCTTCTCAGAAGGCCGGAGGCCTCGGGAGCGTTCTGAGAAGGCCCGCCCCCTTCTGCCTTTCTCCCGGGGCGCACCACACTCCCCTCATTTTCGATCCTCCCTGCGGCGCTGGCCCTCCCAGCGCACCACGCGGCAGCTGCTGGCATCCCTCGCCCGATGCTTGTTGAGTTCTGCGGGGGGGGGAGGGGGGGGCGCCTCGGAGTCGCCCGCAGGATGATCCCCGCGGGCTGCGGGGCGCGGCGCGAGAGGACCTCACTCGCTTACAGTATCTCAGTATCGTTTAACCGATCCCCATCCCCACCATGCCATGGCATCTCAGCCCCACCATCCCACCACCCCAGTTGGGGATAGGCCCGCCCCTCGAAGCCCGAAGGGAACAGCCTATATCCCCATCTGACAGAGGTGGTAAATCGGCCAGTGGGGCCCAGGCCTTCCCAGTGGGGACAGTGATCGGTTAAACGGTGCTCATTATCTCGAAGAGAAGACAAGACGGCATGAGCATGAGTTCTCGGATGCCCGCGCAGATCTCTTGGGTCTACCCAGGAGATGGTGTGTCTCAATCTTCCTGAGTTGTTCCTTGATTTCGGACTCCAGGGTCCTTTTCGAGCCCCGGGACCATCACATCAAAATATCTCTCTGGGGCGACAAATTGCCCCCGGGGAAGGGGGCGAGGCAATCGGGGCCGCGGACTGAACATCGTCGGATGCTGGGGCCAGAGGCTACCGATCTTTCACGGCACAATGTGGCCGGGGCCAGCATTTCATGTTTTCCAGACCTAGCAAGAGTTCCTCTGGTTTTTCCAGTTCGTTCAGGTTCGCTCCAGACCAGCTTCGTTTGTCCAGAGATGGCCATTTCCATTTTTGCACGCAATGTTGATTCTCCACCTTTTCCAGTCTCCCTCTCTAACTCCCCTCCGAATTGTTCGATATCCCTTGAGATCCGGGCGTCTTGAAAAAATCCCCAACGTTTTTGCCCCGTGTCGGGGATCGGAGACCCTCGCGGATCGATCTGCCAGTGCCGCAGGGAAAATGGTGTTGAGGGATTTGGTCGTGATTCTTTACACCTTTCTGATCTTTCACTACGCCGGGGATCTCGGAATAGTTCCCTTCAGGACCTTCCTGGTGCGGGCTCTCGCGCTGGCCGTTATGCTGCGTTCGCGAGACCGTGCCGACGCGTCCAGCGGCGGCGCTCTGTTGATGGACGGGCTTCACGTGGCGCACAGGAGCGTCTACAGCGGCAAGTATTTGGCATCCACTGGCGTCGTGAGTTGGCCGTGCAAGTACACCTACACCTACTACAACGCCACGGACGCGTATAGCCTGGAGTTCTTCCGCCCCACGACTGGGGTGTTCAACGTGGTGCAGGCAGGCTGCCTTTTTGCGCACCAGCGGCCAGCGGACAACGGGTACGACACCGCCTCCTGGGACGTGAGGTCGCCAGACTCAGGGTCTTCCCCAGGTGGCGGGCTATGCACAGATCCCGACGACAACGGTCTCTGGGAGGTCCTCTTCGTGGAGACGGCCGGCGTGCCGTACCTCGTCAGGCTGCGGAGCCTGCAGTTCGGCTTGTGCATCGTCTCCCCGCAGGAGACGGGCCAGAACCAGCTGGTCGAGCTGGGATCCTGCACCAGCGACCGGGGCCTGTGGGAGGTCACGCCCTGCCATTGCGCCTCGGAGAAGGACAACTGTCTGGGCCGCCACCCCGGCTGAGGGAAAAATCAGCAACACTCCCCCGCTCCCCCGCGATTCAAAGTTGGCACGCTTATCCGCACTACCGCTGGGACTCTCAAACGTGGAAGATCTGAAACCAACACTGCACTCGGGAGGAGGGGGGGAGGGAGCTCAACCCATCTGTGATGCGTTTCCGACACCTGCCAGATGCGCCCGCGCTGCACACCGCCGCGGGTGCGCTCGCGAGCCCCGCGGAGCAGGCGTGCTGCCTCCCAGAGTGCGCGGAGAGCACCACGACGACGACCTCCACGACGAGCACAACGGTCACCGCGACGACCGAGGCCCCCCTGGTGAGCGAGGACGACCTCGTCACCGGTGCCGTCGCTGGGGGGGTGGCGATCGGCCTCCTGTGCCTCTGCGGCGCCTTCTGGCTCGCCTGCCACCGCTTCCCCGACGCGGTCGACAGGCGCGGCGCTCAGGGAAGGGTGCGCCTGGCCCCCGCCCCCTCCTGCCCCCCCTCCCCTGGGCCTTCGGGGGGGGGGCCTCCTCGTCGCCGCGGCCGGATCTACCTCGAGATCCTGGCCCGGGGGCGCCCCTCGGAGGGGCCCGGGGATGGCTTCCGAGGGCCTTGCGCGGCGTGCCCCGCCCTCGAGGACTCGGAGTGGCTGGCCTCTGGCCCTCGGCGGGTGCTCGGGGACGGCCCCGCCTGGCGGAAGTAAGCAGGGCGGCGTCGTCGGCGGAGGCCCGGCGGAGGCAAGAGTGCGGCTCCCGAGCAGAGCGAAGGCCAGGGCGCACAGGGGTTCCCGAGCCAGCCAGGTTTGTCCCAGACGCCATCGCCAGCAGCCCCAGATTCAGGCACTACAGGACCTTCACCGGCTCGCTGTCTCCATTCGGAGCGGGGCGAGGTAAGTGCATGGGGGCGGTCGCACCAGATGGGGAGGCCAGTTGTGACCTTGTGGATGTGCGGCCCCAGCCCGACGCCCTGCAGAGCACCGCGTGGGCCACCCCGGTGGCCCCGCCGGCGACCAAGGCGGCTTGCCCGCCGAGGCTGGGCCGGGCAGCGGCGCTGGAGATGGCGGATGCATTCGTGGTCGAGTTCAGTGCCCTCAGCTTCCAGCAGGCTCTGAGGGAGGCCTGCCAGGAGGCTCACGGCGACTTGAGGAGGGAGGTTCGGCAGAGGCGATCTCTTTGCGACCCCATCCGGTTTCGAGTGATCTCGAAGTACGGCTTCCCGCCCGATCCGGTGGGAGTATGCCAGTGCTCGGCAGCCTTCGCCGAGCTGCTGCCGGACGACAAGGAGCTGCAGGAGCTGAACTGGAAACTCTCCGCGCTTTTGCAGACACGACCGCAGGACTGGGATACTCAGTTCGCGCCTTTGTGCTCTGACATGACGCTGGACTGCGAACCACCAGCGCCACCAAATTTGAGTCCGCTTCGGCCAATAGTTGACCCCGTTGGATGGGAGAGACCTGGTGCAGTTACCAACGTAGTCAGATAGTTTCGCAGCCTCGCGCGCGATGTTTTTCATGCAGATTTCACATTGCGCAGCGCGTTTCGTATAGAATATACGGTTGGCCGTTCAGTTTTCTCGGCGTTGTTTGTTTACATGCCTCGGGCCGACAGCTACCTCGGCGCCCGATTGTCATCCCAGTAGTTCTCTGCGTTTGAGCAGTGGTTAGTCTAATGATTTAGACTCTGCGTTTGAGCAAGAGGGATATATAACACACGTGTATGTTTACGATTCTAGCCACGGCCTTGGCGCACCGCTGCCGTTGTCAAGAAATCGTTCAAGTTGCGAGTTCAATCAAAGTACAAACCACTCTTGTTCCCAGCCATCCTGTGGTGTTGGGTCCTCGTTTTGAAGAGACAGCGGCCCGCGTTCCTCACTCCCTCCCCCTCCTCCCTCCTCCCATCTTCATCAGCATCATCATCATCAACAACATCATCATCATCATCATCATCATCATCATCATCATCATCATCGTCATCATCATCATCATCATCATCATCATCATCATCATCATCATCACATTCTTCATCATCATCATCATTATCATCACCATCATCATTATCATCGTCGTCGTCGTCGTCACCAGCGTCATCACCATCATCATCGTTATCATCACCATCTTCTGCATCATCATCACCATCATCACCATCAGCATCATCATCCTCCTCCTCCTCCTCCTCCTCCTCCTCCTCCTCCTCCTCATGGGGCAGTCAGGGATCCGCTTTGGGGAGCGCCTCACTCACTCACTCCTCATCATCATCACGCTTCGTGGCCCCATAGGGAGCTTCGCCGAAGGTCCCAGTGGCAGCCCGCATGCGTCTCCCACACCCAGTACAGCGTTCCGTGGTCCTTTAGGGAGCTATACTTAAGGTCCCAGTGGCACAGCCCGCGGGCGTTTCTCCCGCCCAGTACCGCTTTTCGTGGCCCCATAGGGAGGTCCACCGAAGGTCCCAGTGGCGCAGCCCGCATGCGTCTCCCACACCCAGTACAGCGGTCCGTGGCTCCATGGGGAGCTCCACCGAAGGTTCCAGTGGCGCAGCCCTCATGCGTCTCCCCCACCCGGTACAACGTTTCGTAGCCCTAGGCTCCACGGAAGACGATACTTACAACCGCGGTATTCACAATTGCATGTGGTTGGGTCTTTCGCCTGTCAAATTTTGACGAGTTGCCCTCGATGTGCATTGCGCGCGTGTTGTGTGTATGTGTGTCTGTGTGTGTCTGTGTGTGTCTGTGTGTGTGTGTTTGTGTTTGTGTGTGTGTGTGTTTGCAGCGCCCAAGCGTGGAGAGTGGCTGCACGAAGTGGTGTTCGATGATCTTCAGGACGTTTGTGAGCCCTGTGTGTGGTTGTTTGCTTGCTTTTGTTTGCCCTGTGCGGCTCCGCCGATGGAGCGCGGCCTGTGTCGGCCCTCAATTCAACGTTTGCGTCGCTCAGCATGGCTTCGGCGGGCAAGCACACGTTGGCATTAAAACGTGGTCTGAGGATCATCGAGGTGCGCAGCTTGTTGGTGGCCTCTCTTGGCTTCTCGGGAGCCTTGGCGAGACCTTTCGGGGACTTCCGGGGGGTCTGCCGGGGTTTCTAGCGGCCTTCTCGGGGGCATCGCGGGGGCTTCCTAGGTCGCATTGGAACGGTTAGGGAACCTCTTGGCCAACCTTTCCAACGCGACCCAAGAGGCTCTTGGGTCGTCATGGACGCTGTGAAACCAGCACGGCGACGACATGAAACACGCATTATTTTCACAACGCTTTACTTGTCGGAGGCGTTCTGGAAGGTTTGCTCTTGCCTTGTCGTGCATTCATGAAAACCCATCGAGACGGTTTGTCCCAACCATCCTGTGGTGTTGGGTCCCCATTTTGAAGAGACAGCGCCCCGCGTTCCTCTCCACCTCATCCTCCTCCTCGTCCTCCTCCTCCTCCTCCTCGTCCTCGTCCTCTTCCTCCACCTCCACCTCCTCCTCCTCCTCCTCCTCCTCCTTCTCCTCCTCCTCCTCCTCCTCCTCCTCCTCCTCCTCCTCCTCCTCCTCCTCCTCCCCTTCCGTAGCCATTTTGGCTCAAGTTCCAAACCTTCGCCCTGAGGCTTGGAGCTTGTCCGCAGCCGAGAGGCTGGCCCGAGGCAGCCTGCCCTCAGTGACTTATTACATCTTCCGATCCTTGCAGCCAGAGCTGCCTGACCGCTGCAAGTGCGTTGTGGCCACGACTTCGTCCCAGCATTCTGCCATACCATGGCGCCGCCGGCGAAGGGTGGTGGTGCAGGGCCTCAGAAGTGGCATTGCAAGCTCTGCAAGCACGACAGGTCGGGAAAGCCATTCCTCAACTTCGCGGAGGACAAGGCGTACTTCAAATGCCACCTCAGCAAATCAGCCTGCTTCGGTGGCCACCAGCAGGCACTCGCTCCTTCGACGCGGGCTTCTTCTTGGGACAAGGGGCCGCCTCCGTCGGAGTCTCCCAGGTCGCGAAGTGCCCGGAGCAGATCAAGAAGCTCGAGGCTGAGCTCAAGCGGGCGCGCCATCAGGCCGCCAAGCCACCCTCGCAGCAGTGTTGGGACGTCGGCTTGGGCTGCGAGGCTGTGCCCGACAAGGATCGCCTGGACTCGCTCGACAATGAGTTGGCCACCATCGCGGCCCTGCAGGGGCCGGTGTGGGACAAGCTCTAGGCCGATTTTACGCTGGAGAAGCGGCAGATTGAGCAGCGTGTGCTCGACGGCCAGCCTGTCTCTCAGCGCCTCCGCACGCTGCTGCGCAAGGTCGACGAGGCAGACGCGAAGCTGGCCGAGGGAAAGAAACACCTCTAGTCCTGCAGGACCCGCCTCAGCGCCGCCGAGACTGCGGTGCACGAGACTGAGGAGGCCGCCCAGGAGCAGGAGCAGCAGCTGCAGCAACTCAAGGCGCAGCGGGCGGCCCTGGTTGCGGAAGGGGTGCGCGTTAAGGCCCCGTCTGCTCCTCTGCTCCAGCTTGACGCCTCCAAGGTCCAGGCCCTGTTGTCGGACGGGCTGGACAAGTTGGGCGTGCAGGTCTCCTCCCTGGCCCGGTCGACGTGCGAGCAAGCGCCGAATTGTGCGATCCAGACGATGGTCAGGCTCGAGGCGCCTGCAGCGAGGGCGCTGGCCGCGGCCGAGGGCACGGCCGCCCCTGCGGGCGATGCTGCTGCTGCGCCGCCGCCGCTCACGATTGAGCAGGTTCGTGCAGAAATCCGTGCAAGTGGAGCTGAGCCGCCCTCCGACGACGCAGACGCCCGCGCCATGCACGGCAAGGTACGCGAGGCCTTGGGCGGCAGGTTCTGCGCCGACAGGGTGGGGGCCGCGTTTTCGCCGATGCGGTGGACTCCTTGCCCTCTGCCTGCTCGTCACCATGATGTCTTTTTTCTTCTTGCTTCGCTCCGGCTGGGAGCTGCTCGAAAGTTCTCAGCCGGCCTGCGTCGGGGGAGCGTGAGACCCGGGTTTGCCAGGACTCGGGTTCGCCATCGTTTTTTGACGACCGCGCCTCGGATTTTGACGAGGAGGAGTTTCGTGGGATGTCTGCAGCGGGAGGCCTCGTCAAAATGCAGGCTCGGCCTCGTCATTTTTGTTGACGACCTCGTCGGGGATTTCCGAGTCCCCCGTACCCGGGTCTTACGTCTCCCCGACTGCGGTGCAGGTCTTCTACCTGTTTGTGTTCGGCGTGGGCCCGCCCAGGAGGCCGTCTGCAAGGCCGCTGCGGCAGCCAGCCGCGCTGCGGGCACCGCCCGGGAGGCTCCAGAACCTACCGCTGATGACGACGATTTCTGTGTGGGCGCCCCTGGAGGCGGCGCCGCGGCTGGTGACCTATTCGGCGCTGCCGAGGGGCCTCCAGGGTCACCGAGCGCCGGCATGTCGCAAGGCGCTGGGCGCTGGCATGAACGCGACAGGCAGCCGGCGCGGGGCGCTCCCGCCCGAGCGCTGGGTGGCCGAGCGGGGCCGGGACTCCGCCAGTTGCCGCGCCGACGCCCCTGGGGCCAGTGACCCACTCGGCGCTGACGAGGGGCTTCCCCGGCCACCGAGCGCCAGCGCGCTGCCCGGCGCTGGGCCCAGACCTGGGCGCGCAGAGGCGCCCGCCAAGGCAGTCGCTGGGGCCGCGGCCAAGACGCCGCTCGAGCTGGAGGAGCTGATCGGGGAGCGGCAGCCGCCCCAGTCCGATTCCTTGGCACTTTAAACCCTCAATGCCAATGCATGGGGCGGCGCCCGCTGGGTGCTGGAGTGGTCAGCGGCCCACGACCGCCGCCCCCGACGCCCTGCCCCGACGACCCCCCCTGGCCTTGGCCACGACGACGACCACCTCCGTCCGCCCCCTGCTTGCTCTGCACTGCCTCTGCTGCTTCCCTCCCTCCTTCTGGTCAGCGTCTGTTCGGTGTGTTTTTCCTCTTGCCCCTCGTCTTCCTCCTCCTCCTCCTCCTCCTCCTCCTCCTCCTCCTCCTCCTCCTCCTCCTCCTCCTCCTCCTCCCGGGGCTTGGCACCGTCGCCGCCCGTCGGCCAGCCCCGCAACAGGGCGATGGCGGCCTCTGCCTCAGGCGAAGAAACCCGACGGCAACCGTCGCCTTTGGGTGCGGAGCCCGCCAGGCCGCGCGGCCAGCATAGGGCCCTCCAGCAAGGCGACTACTTGGGGCGCCGCGCCAAGGAGCGTAGACGGTCTCTATGTATATTAGATGCACATGCGGTCTCTCCCCGCCAGGGCTCCGCCAGATTGCTTGGGTGTCCAGCGGTGTGGAGTTGCCCGGCGCCGAAGGCCGAAGTAGCCTTTGGTGCCTGGCTGTCTGGGCTTGACACATTCTCAGGACACCATCTGTGTGTCCCAGGGCCCCTTCAGTCGGCCGGGGCCCTGGAGAGGCCACCCGGGAGAGAGCGAGCGGTGGAGAACGCTCCGGCCCGCGGCTGCAGTTCTCTCGGGCAGGCCAGAGTGGCGGGCGATCGCTGTCCCCGTCGAGGGGCCCGGACGTCGCGCTCTCGCGTCTGGCCAGCGCGCGGACCCCGTCTGGGCGCGCCGCCGTCGCCGCGCGCCAGCCCGGGCCCGGGTCTCCAACGAGGTGCTGTCTCCCGAGCCTTTCGACGTAGTCTTCATCCAGGAGGCTCGGTTCTTCGACGCGGAGGCTGAGGGGGCGGCCAGGCAGCGGTGCCTTGGCCAAGGTCTCCATTTGGCCAGTGGCGGGCCTCGCCGCGCTGACGCGGACCGCATAGCCGTTTATGGCGGCGTTGCCTTGGCCATTGCGTCGCGCATCGGCGCGTCGAGTCTGGCGGAGGCGCCGTCGGAGTCCCTGCGCCGCATGGTGGTCCGCAGGGCCCGCCTGGGTGAGGGCTCAAC